TTCTCCTAACTAGAGTGTCCCTCTCAATTAGGACTCTCCTAGCTAGAGTCCTAACAGAATGTCCCTCTCAATTAGGACTCTCATAGCTAAAGTCCTAACAGTTTTACATGAATGTCCCTCTCAATTAGGACTCTCCTAGCTAGAGTCCTAACAGAATGTCCCTCTCAATTAGGACTCTCCTAGCTAGAGTCCTAACACATTTACCCTTAAAAAAAAAAAATTATATTTGACTCTCCTACATTTAAACTTTTTTTAAATGTATGAAAAGGTGCATTAATTATTTTAATTTTAATTTTTAATATATATTGGATGAATTTTCGACAAAAGTTCAGTTATAGTGTTTTTAAAATATGTTGCAATATTTTCAATAATACTAAAAAAACTTTAACATAGTAAAAAAAATATTATAATAATATATCTCACAAATTTTCTTTCGTTGTCTTCAAATCTCTCTCGTCATGAATAGTGTGATGTTCTTCACTTTCATCGAGCCCGCGCTGTCTTGTACTTGTTTGACCAGAAAAAGCCGACACGAGGAGAATATTTTAGAGAGGTATGATGAGAGTGGTTGACGAACTCACCCAACGTTGATTGAAGGAGCTGCTTCTCTTCTCCAATCTGCCATTCCCAAGTCTACCATTCCAAGTCTTCGGTTGTTTTGGACCGCCGCGAGGTAAAGACGAGTTCTGTTTTTCTTCCTTTTTTATTTGCATTGTGATCACCAGTTCTTCCCTTGCCATTTCAGCTCCGATCTTTTCCTCTCTTCCTGTACTCTCCATTGCCTAAAAGAGGGGATTTTTGGGTTTGGATTTGGGGGTTTGGGAGAAGCAAGGAGAGAGGAGGATGAAGTCGCCGCTGAGAATGTTTCGAGGCCTGAAGCATCAGGGCCACGAGGCCAAGGAGGGGAAGAAGCAGCATCGCGCCCGGACGAATCAGGACGAACTTGTCCAGAACACCCGGGTAGAACCGGTCCTCCTGTCCTTGACTGCACTTCTCTGATTGCTTACTTGGTTTCGTGAAATATACATCGAAAAAGTTGGATCTTTATTTCGATTCCACACAAAAATATCTATTTTTCTCTCGTTTTGTAGTTTGTCTCCGTAAGAGGTCTCCTTGTTTTGATGAAACATGCTGCAACTTTTGGTGTCTACTGCGTTACAGAATCTAAGTTGAAAAGCTTCTTTTCTTTCCCTTCGTTTCTCAGTTCAAATCAATTGCATTTATTTTCTGCTTATGAATTTTGTTCTGGAATTATGGAATGGTTTGACCAAGATCTTCTCATGAGACTTAAAATTCTTATGCCAACTCTGTTTTACCTGTTTAGTGCCATCAGCATTACCTCCACTATATGCAAGTTTCTGTTTGTTTTAATTGATCTAGTTCGTGGGAGTGACTTGTTACCTCCAACCAAAGACACCAAATATTCTTTGTCATCATCTAAACCTTTTTCCATCAGTAGAATATAATATTTGTTTATCTTTCCTGGGAATTAGGATTAGGAGTTCATTTTTTTCACTTCTATTTTCATCATGAAGAAGGCAAGGAGACAATTGCAAGTTGCAACAATGAAAACTTACGTCCCTTGGCTTTATTCTAACAGGTAGAAGACTTAAGAAGCTTTACTGGGCAGTTTCACATGGATGCTTGTGTCCAAGCTCACTGGACATGTTGGATATGCATCCATGTATACACAACTCAGACACTTGTCTGATTTTTTATGATACTATTCTGTTGTCAAACAACAACAATAAGACTAGTGGGTTCTTTAATGATTCTATAGCTTCTTGTAAACTTAATTGTAATAGTTTCTATTTTCAAAACACTACAACATACACATCATATTTTAAAATTATTATTCTTTATACATGTCTTCATATCTCCAGTTTGTCTTCTTTCTGAACTGGATATTATATATGAGTCCTTATCGGACTTCATGTGCATCAAATAACACTGGTGTTAAAGGGAAAGAACACAACCACAACATGGTGACCCTTACTATCCTGCCACTCAACTGCTCATCAAGGCAATATTCCAAATGTATTTTTTATCAGCAACCAATTTGGATCGAGAAACTAAAGGATTGCACATATTTAGCTTACGAGAAAAATAGACAAAGTGAAAGCCTAAAATTGTTAGAAAGAAAAGGATATAGATTGACTTCATTATCATTATAAGGTAAAACTTTTGTTCTCTTAGTGCAGGTTATACATTACTCATTCATGAAATATGTCAGTAACAATGTCAACGGTATTTTGCCTTTGTCCTTGTGTTAAGAAATCTATACTTTAATAAAGAATTAAATATCAGCCATGGATTTGTCAATGTGGCATTTAGTTACGCTACACAGTGTGATGACTTTTTATGACTATTCATTGGCATCACACTGATCATGAAAAAAAGATATTTGAACCATAGTATGGGGGAAAGACTATCCTTGACTTGAAGTCAACCGATGGAGGCAGAGAGCAGTTATTTTTGTTGTATAACTTACTAATGATAAGAGCTCAAGTAACCATCATGAATCCAAAATAATTCATGAAAAGGAGTCACAAATTAGTAGACGAGAAAGTGTAGCAACTTTTACTTTACAACTTTCAGCCTAGTCTTTGTATTTTATTACTGGTTCTGTCCTATATGGTTTAAGCAATTGTCAATATTGGAAGCCTTTTCCTCCTCCTTTTTGCTGTCAAATCATATTTTCTTTCAGAAATTTTTTGGGCCCTATATTAAAGTGTCAACATGTGTGCTCACATATGTTGGTGTAATGATGTTGAGTCAGGTCCACCTGGCAAAATGACGAAACTTACTTTCGCATTGCTGAGTCAAGTATGATTTATACCCATATAGGGCATAGATCCAGGATCCATATCCAATCCAGTTAGGTTTAATAGATCCGATATCAGGATGCTTCAGATTTCATTTTGGGGTATTGAGCTACATTAACACCTTCAGTTGGTGTCCTTCAGTAGACATTGCATCCGCACTTGTAGACATGGATAGTAAACATACTAACATGGGTCCCATATTAATGCATGTCAGATCTAGGTCATGTTGCCTGAAGGATTAGTTTTGTTTATTGAATTGAGAAATTATTCAACATTCCTGCTGTACTATGGATGAGACAGCTGGAGTGATTTTAAATTGAGTCTGCAAACTGTTCCACTTTCATTATTTTCTCTAGTTGTCACTGTGCATATTTCAACAGTTATTGGTTCTCATTGCATAGCTCTATCTCTCCAGTATTTAAAAATTTTTATACTTACTGTATGTGTGTCGGTGTTACAAAATAACAGCTTCTAACAGCTCCAAATTTTTTAGCTTGACTTTTATGTATATGGGTGTTAAACTGTGCAGCTCTTCTCTCAGAATTTCTAGGAAATTTGAACACTTCTTCACTTGGGTGAATTTACAAGACATAACACAAAAAAAAGATAAATATGATGATGATTGTTATTATGGCAACTCACAAACCGATCGAAAGAATAATTGAAATAAATGAAAATCCTTTTTACATAACCATTAGATTTGATGACTTGGTGTCATCTGGTGGCAGGATTTGCAGGATTTGAAGAGCTGCTATGATAGCATACTGTCTGCAGCAGCTACAACTGCAAATAATGCACATGGTACTGGTTCCTGCGCTATTACACATTAAAGGAATTTATTTAACTAGAAAGTAAAATATGGCTGGCTATTCTTGTTTATCTGCAAATTACATTCTAATTGAATTTGTACCTTGGTTATAAAGAAAAAAAATATAATATTCATCTTCTGAGAAGTTGCATCATGTTTGCCAAGTCAGAATGTAATTTATCACAAATACAAATGATGTTAAATATGTTAGATTGTTTTCCTCTCTTATGAGTGCAGCATAATTCCAATTTTCTGAATGCTGAGTGGTATACATGTTAAGATGCTGTAAACAGATATTTTTTATGATTTGCTTTATTTGATGGTGTTTCTGAATCAGAAAGATGTATAATGTACTTCACAATCTAGTTCCATTGGTTAGTTTATCAGGAGTTGCTTGGTTAAGCTTTAATTATTGTAATTAAGGCAATAAAGAAAAATATTCTGTAAAGTATGTCTAATCCAAACCAGAAGAATTCTTTGATCAAACAAAACAATGTTATCAAAGAATTCATATAATCAAAAGGTGTCCTGCAGCAATATGTTAGTGTTCTTATAGGTAATAAAACTTTATTTACAACTTATACCGGATCCGCATGTTGCATCTTTGATAGTTTTTCTATTGATTTTATCTCCATTTTGTGTGTGTATCTAAGCTTATCTGATAAATGGTAAGAATTTTGTTAAATATTGTTTCCAATGCTTATTGTATCTACTTGTTTACTCTTCGATTACTTTTCTTAATTTGCAGATTTTTTTCATTTATTTTTATCTTTTTATTTTTTGCAATTCTTGTAATCCATTTTATATTCAATGAGTTTGGGGATCTTCTTGTCACCTGCTGAAGTCCTTATGCCCTTCAATATAAAAAACTATCACTTTTCTTTCCCTTCCTTCACTTGCCAGCTCTTAATACTATAATCTAGACAAATATAATTAGTCTATGCCCCTCTGGATCTCTATTATTATGATATACTGCATTTAGTGGATTGATATAATTTTTTTCAAGGATACATTTTAATCCTACTTTTCTTAGGGTTTATCTGTTTAATATTATTTTTTCCAGAAAAAAAAAAAATTAAGTCATCACAGATCTAGTAAACGATCTGTGTAAGTCATTATACAAAAGCGAGGAAAGTTCAGTAGTTAAAGAATTCTCCCTCAAAAGAGAAAACTTATGAATCCTAGAATTTCTAGCAGCCCAATTGGCTGCTTGATTACATTCTTTATAGCAATGCATCACATTAAATGTGATTATTTCTTGTGAAACGATTTTGATATTCGCAACAATCTGTTTAATATTATGCTAGACTTAAGACCTTACACAATATTGCCTAGTACTTAAGAAGCCAATTACCATGAAGCAATTTGGATCTGAACCAGATATGGGTTATCTGGAGCCATGGCCAGCCAAGATATTCTCTTTTGACCAATCATTGGGGTTTTTTGGTCCTACAGATGGATGCACAAGGCAGGTCACCCTATTTCCACTAGGCCTAATTGTAGGTAACCTGAGAGCAGATGTGGCCTCTGACATGATAGTTTATGTCCTTATGATGGAGGTGATGTTGACTGCAGTGAACAGATTTAGAAAGGCTCTAGATAGTTAAACTTAAAAGAGAATCTAAATCAATTAGGAACGGCTCCAAGCTCAGTAACAGCAGGATCAAAGCAGCTTAAAATAATTTGTGAAAGGCAAACAGGAGACCAAAGCTCATTGAGATGCACCAAAGGAGGCAAGGGAAGTTACACACCCTTCTCCTAACCAAAATAGTAACTCTTCCATATATATATCTCTTATGCAATAAATATAGTTTTTAGACTGGTCTAGAATCCTTTAATAGACAAGGATGTGATTTTCAAACTTATGTTTGACTATTGCTTTCTCTTCTTTTGCATTAACGATGTAGAAAGTTACTAGTAATTATAGTTGATAATTTTGTTTAGCTTCTACCTATCCTTGAGTTGAGGTAGCAATTGTTAGAGGATTACTATGGTATCAATATGATGAATGTAACATACTGGTATATTTCAAAGGCATTCTAAATTTGTATATTCTTTCAGAGTTCTCAGAAGCACTGGAGGAACTGGGCACCTGTTTTCTTGAGAAAACTGCATTGAATGATGATGAAGATAGTGGTGAGAAAATCCAACTTTGTACTTTTATATATGCCACACGGTATAAGTGTATGACTATTGATCTCACAAGATAAACCCTAATTCTTCTGTGTTTTCTGTAGATTTCTCATATACTTAGCCTCCTGCAACTACGTCAAGTATACTAATCATATAACTAAACCTTACTGAATGTATTTAATGCAACCTGGAGTTTTCTTTAGATATACCTGATTCCCCCTTCCTAAACTATGAAGATACCACAAGGATTCTTTCTTTCTCGAGAATGAACAGTAGATACTTGTTGTGAAGAATTGATTTATTTTACAAATTGTTTTAATCATTATTTGCCATTCTTTTAGTTTTTCCAACCTCTTCAACAACTAAATCCATATTAGTCATTCATGCAGGTCGGGCTTTAATGATGATGGGAAAAGCACAATTTAAGTTGCAAAAACTTTTTGATGTATATGTGAGTCCTCTATTCTGTGTTGTGAATGCAGGAAGTTGTTCTTGTCACCACTTTGTCTAAGCAAATATGTTGGTGTCAGTATAAGATGAGAAATTTTACTCTATCTTGCAGCGGGTCCATATCTTACAGACAATGGATAAGCCATCAAGATCCCTTCTCAGAGAGCTTCAAGTTGTAGAGGTTTGATCCTTTTAGTACTTCTTTCAAATTGGAAGTTGAATGGTCAATTAGAGAATTCTTGAAGTTCCCTTTATACTGAGTTGCTCATTTATATCTTATGATCTTTGACAAAGTCAGGGCTACTTACCAAGCATTATATATCACTTTAGGTTTTCACTCTTCTGTTGGATTCTGTCATTAGAATCCTTGTCAGGCATCCACTGATTTGAAGATGGCCAATCATGTCATAAACATAAAATAAATCTAATGTCATAATTGAATAAAGAACTTGGTGCATTTGATAGTTAAAAGATATCATTGTTCTAAGGTAGTGCCTTCTATATTATCAAGATTATATTATTTCAGATTTTGATGGCATATGCAATTTACTAATGACATTACAATGATCAGACCAAAGATGGGATAAACTTTGAGAATTTTAGATGCATATTAGAATATATAAATTATAGAATAAGCAGATTTAAGTTTAAATAGCAATCACCAGAGAGTAAATTGATAGCAACTGCTTATGTCTTGCATGTTGTTAGGAAAGTAATGCCATAGGGGACATTGCTTACCAATTTAGCACTGGAGCATTAAAGTGGAGAAATATATGATGGTCCTTATTATCACTTGATGCCCATTAAAAGGGTTATAGGTCTGGTGTAGTGATGCTTTATGAGTTGGAGTTATGTTGGTTACTCAAACATACATCTGGAAATGGATGCACTATAATTGAAAATGTTGGAAGGGATCAAGATGTTAATGTGAAAGAATGGCAAGTTGGAGGCATTTATCAAGTATACTGTGAGGACTACCAATTTGAGTGGTCCCTTCATATGTGATTGATGTGGCTTAGCTTCCAAAATCATAAATTGAACATAAAAAAGGAATAAAAGGATGTAACAAGTAGATAAAACTTCTATATAATTCTCTGGTATCAATGATATTTGAGACTTAAAAACTAATATAATTTGTATCTGAAGGCCTGAGGTCATTCCATTTTTTTTAGGTCAGAATTTGGTCTGAACTCTGAAATGGATGCTGCAATGTTGTGGATGGATTACAAAATTCAGTATTTTATTCATTTACGTCTATGATTAGATCTTTGGTTCAGTAGAAGTTTTATGGTTATTTTGCTACTTCTGTTCGTCTTTAAGATCCGTAGTACTTCAAGGCGAGGTTGCTTCTTCATAACTTAGGTGTCAAGCGTTTGAGTTAGAGAAACAATTGCTGCATGCAGAAGCGAAGTTGCATATATTTGACTCTTTCCATCCTTCTATTAGTCTCTTGAGGTTAAAAGTCTCACAATATGAAAAGCTCTAGAGACCATCTAGATATTGATTGTTCATTTTGGTGCATGTCACTTATCTTTGTTTTTAATTCTCTCTCTCAGGTGTCGCCATCATCATCAAGCACTTTTAAAAATTTTGTTCTAAAATTTAAATAGATTTTTTGATCTATAATTTTTCTCCTGCTCTATCCCTCTTATATCATCATTTAGTACAAATGAGGTTGAGGGCAGTGAAAATGGATGTACCACATGTTGACTAGGTAGGTCATAGAAGGCTTGGATTCCATTAATTTGGTAAGTACATATAATCAGTGTCTGAAATACCACCTGAAACGATATGAAACAGGTGGTATGTATTGGTCGGCCAGCTAACCAATATATCAATCAGTCCATTTTGGGCAGTTTGCAGGAAACATGTAAGGTACTGACTGGTACATCACTCTTATCGATCGATACAGACGGTAATGATAGGAGTTTGACCAATACTGATCCAAATCGTCTAAAGTTTGACCCTAACAGTCAATTTGATCGTTGGGATCTCTTTTGGGGTTTGAATCCCATCCCTTTCTCCTCTTTCACTCTCATTCTCATTAAACTCTCCCATCCTTATAACCTAAGATTCCTATTCATTTATGCCTCATATAAACTTTACTGCTGTTTAAATATAATAAAATTACCATTAAATTAGGATAAAAAACCTTAAAAAGGTTCTTTTTTTGTAAATTCCTAATTATTTTATTTTTTTTAAAATTAGTACATCTGGCATACCAACCTATGGTATGCTAGTACCAATCGGTACATATCAATCTGCCCATGGATCAATACCACCAGTCGGCACGAAATGGATCTATGTATATAACCAATGTTGTCAAAAAGACCCTCACTTAACCACTTTGATGCAGACGCTTACAAAAGGAGAGACCGAAGTGAGAAAAAAAAACTCTTGAGGGATTTGATTTAGTTACTTCTACAATCCCTCAAGCAACATCCACATGCAACTGTCCATTTATTTGCATCGTGCATTGTGGAGTTGAATTGCAACTATTGCTGGTCACTTCTATCCTCTCCTCACAGTAGTTTTCTTCCTTGTTTTTTCCCTTCCCTCATATCTCCTCGTCTTTCCTCCACAATCACTCTCCCCTCGCTCAGAGATTGTTCTGTCGTTGTTGTTGCTCTCCCACATTCTTCTCTTCCCTCGTTTTCCCCTCTCCTCTCTTCGTGGCCAGCAAATTTGACCACCATCGCCTTTTCTTGCATCTTAGCTCTTATCTTTCTTCCCTCCCTCTTCTTCTCTCCTCTTTGCTCTCCACGGTCAGTGCCTGCCACTATCAACACCCTCTTCTCTCCCATCCCTCTTCTCAAAATTTTTGACATTGTTGTCCATCCCTCCCCCTTCTTTTATCCTCTCTCCATGGTTCTAACTGGCTCCTCCTTCCATCTTCTTTCCTCTCTCTCTTTTAATTTGATCTTTAATTATATTTATGTAAGTTTTGTAAGGTGTGCTCTTTGATTTGCATAGGCAAATGCCTATGTGAGTGCCTACCTCATTGAGCAGTACAGCCCATGGTGCCTAATAGCTCCTAGCTTTATGGACAATTGAACAAAAAAAGAAATACTTGGATTGCTATATTCAGCATGACTCCGTTCAGATTTGTCAAAAGAAACTTAGTTCCATAAATCCATGAAAAGTTTCATCAATGATTATGCAAAAAAATATTTAATATGAATTCAAGACTTTCTTTATTGATCATACTTTAGATATTCCTTATAACTGGAAGTCTCTTCTGAATGTCTAGAACTTTAAATTGGATTTAGAAACTTTAATCGACTTTTGCAATACACTCAAAATTGTTTCATATGCTTAGCGACCTAATTAGGTTCAAACCTTAGGACAACATGAGAGATATTATGGAACTTTAGGTAACAATATCCTTGAAAAGTTTAAAATTGTAAATTCACCACTGGAAGTTCATATTTCATATACGCAGATACTTATATCAGACATATCTTTCAAATATATATTTAAGCTTATGTGTGCTATATTCTAGATTCCTAATTTTGAAGGAAAATATATGCATATATCAACCTTGCAAGAGCAAATAAGCAAATTATGACCTTTTCAGGTTGCATATGATCTTCCTCTCAATGTAACATGAACAGAAGAAAACTTTCCACGAACAAGTAATAGTCCCTCCCTCTCAGGCATAAATATTTCCTGGATATAGTTAAGATGTACTGGTATAACATTACCTATCCATTAAGTTTGCAGTTGAAATTGACAATCCTCTGAATTTCAAGCTTTTACTACCTTGTTGGTAAAACCGGTTTCAATCTATCCTTGTGATAGCTAATTTTTTAACAATGCCTTTGAGTTTTGGACAGTGCTGGCCCAGTATTTTTATTGGATTATTGTAAAGAAGAATAAATTTCTTCAATTTAAGTCTTCACTTTTTGAACTTCTACCTTTATGATAAAGTATGTTTCACCCTTCCATAGACTGGCAAATGACTTGATCATGTTTTGTTTTTGGGGGCTAGCGCCTGTCGGCATGGATCAGCATGAATTCCATGCACCTGTCATGCTGGCATAATCAGCATGAACTCATCCTATGACATTTAAAACCTTGGTTTGTTTGGTGTTCAATACATATGTACATCAACTACAGTTTTGGTTTTCCTGTTCTTTGTTGCTATTCCAGGGTTACTGCACTGTTTTATTAACCACATTCAGGCTGTTTACTGCTTATTGATATTGTAATAGAAACATTATCTTTTGTAAGAAATTTAGATGTGTTATTTGCTTGGTAAGATTATTTTCGGTTGCAGGAAATGAAACGCCTTTGTGATGCTAAAAGGTAAGGAAGTATCAAAATTGTGTCCTCTGCTGTAGTGTTTTAGTTCTTATGTTAGACTTGCCATCTTCAGAGAGATATATAGGAACTCGTTAGAGGCACATAGAGGAAAATGGATGTTGAGATATTCCAAATCTGGAACTTTCTCATCAAAGGAGTTGCAAGAAGCTCAAGCCAATTATGAAGAGGAGGAAAACATGTTTATGTTTCGATTGAAATCATTAAAGAAAGGTCAATTTCAAAGTCTTCTGACACAAGCCACTCGCCACCATGCTGCACAGGTAGTTTAACTCGTATCAAGAACATATGTTCTCTTCATAGAATAAACTGTTATTCTGATGTTAATTTTCCTCTCATTGGATTCAGCTAACATTCTTCAAGAAAGGACTTAAGATGCTTGAGATGGTTGAATCACATGTTAAAGCCATTGCTGAACAACACCATATTGCTTACCAGTTCAGTGATCTTGAAGATGATGTATCAGACTATGATGATGATGATGATGATTATGATTATGGTGGCAGTGATGTTGGGGAGCTAAGTTTTTATTATAAAAAAAATTTCCAAGGAAAAAATGTTATTTATACATCTCAAAACTCAATAGAGGTAAAATTCTGAAGGCTTTGTTTTGTGTTACTTATACTATCATTTTAGAAGAACATTCTCCATTATAGATATGTTAACTGGTTATTAAAAATGATTTAAAGCTGATATAATTAGTGTTGCGTGAAACGTGACTTCAAAAGGAAGCATTAATGTATGCATGCACTTAGCCTCCATCATTTACAACAAATAAAATGATATAGAAAGCTATCAGGACACTATGTCAACAAGTTATAAGCATTAACATGTGCGTGTGCTTGGCCAATAAAAAAAATCATGCAGAAAACCTGTAATAAGCCGGTTCAATGATTTCATCCATCATTTACAATGGGTAAAATGTCACAAGTTGCTCTTCTTTTATTATTTAGCTTTCCTTGTAGACATCATCATTCCTGCTTCCTTAGAGACATGTATTTGCTGAAACCTTGAACTTCAATTAAGAACTTGATCTGTTTTGACATGAATTTTTGTGTACGTTCGACATCATTGTATAGATATGTAGTCTTTAGGACTTTAGAACAAGTCAAAAGAAGACCTACTGAGGTGGACAGGTAGTGAAGTATGTTCAGAAAGTCAGAGGTTTGATTCAAGTAGCATCCTTCAATGATACCAATGGAAATAATTTAAGATTTTTCAACATATAACAACAAGAAAAAGACATGGACTAATTTGGTTGACTACATGGCCTTTTCCCATCATTGAGCTCTATTTAGAGTGACATCCCTGGTCAAACTAAGAGCAGCCAGATCTTGTTTTTATTGTTTCTTATAAAGTTTTGCATGCTTCCCTCTACCTCTCCTTGCATCACTTATCATAATCAACTCCATCTTACTATGGCATACACATGTTTCCTCCAAGTATGACTATATCATTTGAAGTGATATTTTCTCATTTTATTCTAATAGAGCTAAACTAAATTATTTGCTAATTAAACATTTCTTGTTCTACCTTTCTAATAACTGTGAATATCGACCTACACTTTTTCATCTGGGCTACAGTAACTTTTTGAGCATGTTATTTCTTAACTGCCTTACACTGGACATATAAAACACATTTTTTTTTATATTATGTTAATCTTATGAGTACATGAAGATCACACAAGACTCATGACATACCATGCAGACTGTTTTGGTAGTGTTCAACCAAAAATAGTTCTTGATAGAATACCCGTGAATATTCTTGAAAAACAATTGACACCAAAATCAAATTGCAATAATTGATAAAAAATAGTATCATTTTATAAACTGTAAAGCTGAAGAAGTCGTCACTTTGGTAAAATCTTTCTTGTCTAAAAAATTTGAGCTTAAGTGGATAAGGGCATATGGATTCGCTACAACTACAAGAAATTTCTCATATGTATTCGGACAGCAGTGTTTTAATCAAAAGATAAAAAGTGTGACACAGAAGTAAAGCAAATAAATACATCAATTTGATAATGTAATGTCTGTTTCTGGATGTTTTCTGTTTATGATCTATCTCATTTTACTATAACATGGTTTATTTTATGCTTTATTTCACTTGTGCAGGAGAGCATCGACAGAAGCCAATTAGACATGCTCAGTTTCAGGCCTGGATACAGCAGCCAATCAGCACCAATTTTTGCTGATAAGAAGCTTGATTTAACTGAGAAGACAGAAACACCACCCTTATCAACCAGAAAATTTCACTCATATGTGCTACCTACACCAGTTGGTGATAGAAATCCAGAATCAAATCCTGGTACTGCTCCTTGTGTGGAGAAAAATGATAGTTCCCCACCACTGTGGAATTCATCTCCATTAGAGGCAAAAAGACCTGTAAAAGATTTCAGGGAGAGAGAATTATCAAGTTCAACCACCTTCAAGAATTCAGTACTTAGAGGGAGCAATATTAACAGTGGGCCCATCAGTATGCCATCATATTTCTCAGAGAAGCTGTCAATGCCGCAAATTAATCAAAAAACAGCTTATGATACTAATAATTTCAGACGACAAGCCTTCTCTGGCCCATTGACAAGCAAACGTTTTTCAAGCAAACCCATAGTTTCTACTCCTGATTATAGATCTTCAGTGGAATTTCCCCCTGTAGGCTCTTCCGCATCACAACACGTGTTTAAACCTCAATCATCTCCACCTCATAAGGAGACTCATAGAACTTCACCTCCTCCTGTATCATATCCAAAAATCAGCGAGCTTCATGAGCTTCCTAGGCCCCCAGTTGGTTCAGAGAAGTCAACAGGAGCATCCACTTTGATTGGTTATTCTGGTCCCTTGGTCTCTAGAAGCAAAGTGCTTAATGCAAGAAATAATATGCCATCAGATGTCTCATATAAGACATCACTACCAGCACCTTTTGTACATATCAGCCGCAGTTTCTCAATACCATCTAACAGTCAAAGAATATCAATGCTTACAGCTGCTAGGTTGTTGAAGTCTCCTCACAATCTAGTCACAGTAGAAGAGATCACTTCATCACCTCTCGCAATCTAATGACCATACTTCCAGTATCTACAACTTCATAACTGATTGCTGCAGTTACAGAAAAAAGTGGGAGTTGCTAAAACCACATTTATGTGTTCCATTTTCTAAAGGTAACTTCTTCAATGTGTTTCATACTTTAAAGTGTGTATATATGCATGTATATTTCATGTCTCAATTAGGCGTTTATGACAGTAAGTTTAGATTGAATATTTCGATGGTAAGCAAACATGAACTTGTTAGACATGTCAGTATTATTGTCTTCCTACAGATTTTCCTTGAAGTTGTCAGAAAAAGAGTCTTGAATATTTCAATGTGAGCAAACATGAATTTGTTACACATATCATATTATTGTCTTCCTACAAATTTTCCTTGAAATTGTAGGAAAAAGAGTCATCTGTTTCAATGTGACACATGATACTCTGATATGTTGCCACCTTGTCTATTAAATGATAGGATCTAGTTCCACATAGGGTTTTAGAAGGCTTGATAATCATTCATTAAAGGTTTATTTCTTTTTTAGTGGACAATTAATTTCTTTTGGCTTCTTCAGGATATGATTATTTATTGCATTCCTGTACTTTGAGCAGTTTACATTATTTGTGCTGTTGGATATTCCATTGGTCGATAGAAGTTTAGTAGTTTGAAAAACATGATGTAAGTAATAAAACACCAGAACACGATTTGCAGATATAATATGTTGTATTATGGAGCATGTTAAAAAACATGGAAAACACAGTAAAGCATGTAGATGAAGACATAGAAATCAATGAGGTTCTCAAAAGTGGAGTGAAAATAGCACATGGTTCTTGATATGATGCCCAAATAAAGGTATTGAATGCTATTTAGTATCTGCCCAAAAAATATTCTAAATGAGGACAAAAGACATATGCTATTTGCATTGTGCAACCTATATGTAGCAGCATGAGTCAGAGCTTATGACATGAGATGTCAAACCAACTGAAATTTAAACACTTGCATTAGGTGAAAGGAAGTTAAACAGAATTTTGTAAAAGCTTATGTTGTACTTTGAAGATTTTTTTTAAATTCGTTAGGGAAATATGGAATAAACAAGCTGCTTTGTCAAATTCATTGCATAAGTTTCTGATAGCAATTAACAAAAAATCTTATCATGATAGATTTACCATTGATGGAAAAATGGTAAAAGGTTACTTGCTTCCTTTCCTGTTCTGGTAATGAGAGTAGCAGTGGGCCGTTGACCAAAATGGGACTAGTGACAATTAACATAGATAATATAGGGTTGCATGAATAAGCTGCATATAGCTTAATCACTCTGCAATAGATTTTGCATTGTCAGAAAATGAGAATGCAATTATATCAGTCTTCTTCCTAACTTCTCTAAGGGTTTCGATGATCTTATACTCACATAGTTATAGCGGCACTTATCAATTGGAAAAGTTATTGATTAGATTCTCCCTGATCTTTACTTTTTTCTCTTGTCATATTATAGAAATGCGGACAGGGGCTTTAACTTGTTGAAAATGTTGGATATGGGTAGTAGTTAAAATTACATTGCAAGTCAAAGAGCTCTTAAAAAGGCAGATTTTTGGTTGAAAAGGATTTTATTTACAAGGTGGAAAGGAATTAAAACATCTCCAATAGAAATGCTGCACTTCTTGAAGCCAGATGCTGCTTTTTTGTTATCTTGTGTTCTAACAAAGACGATCAAGGATGATTTCCTTTGTGGCTGAGGTATCTGAGGTGGGTGTGTTAACTAGGAGGAGTAAATTAGGCTGGTTGCAGTGTGCTAGTATGAAGATTACCTATTCAGAGCAGTAAAAAAAGCATCTTAGTTTGCTGTTTTTGTAAAACATAAGCAAGATGTCATCAAGCCACATAGATCCATAATGCGACTTGGGGTTGAAGGAAAATTCAATTGGTTCATTGAATCGGTAAGAAGCCAAGAACCTCATCAAGGGGATTTGTCTTTAGATCAGATCCTTTTATTTTCCACAAATTAAATTTATTCTTTCCCCCTATTACTCATTATTCTAGATTTGAGTGCATGTATCCTCCATTAAATGTTACTAGATGTAAGCAGGTACATCACTTGGAAAGACAAAAATAGATGGTTTCTCACTATTTTCGAAAGAAATAGAAACCCATGCAATGAAAAAAAAACGGAAACTAAATGAAACACACATGATGAAGATTGATGGATGGTCTCGATTTAATGTGAGGATGATGCTGTCCGTGCATAGACCTCACTTAAAGTGAGGCACATTATATTACTGGAGGTCTTAGTTGTATCCCTAGAAAAAAATTGGTTTATGTTTCTGGTATGCAACTGAGATTTTAGTTCTTCTCATAAGCAATCTAGTAGACCAGTCAGATGATGCTTTACTTCTTTGGTTTCAGAATACCCGTGACGGATACCTTCTTGCAGTTTTGTGTACACTGCCGGTGTAAATTCGCAGCGCCCCGCTGATCTTCATTCCATATATTAAAGCAGAAGTTTTGTCGATAAATCATCGTCGAGCCAATTTTTTTCTTTGATTATAACCATTTAGTTGTGACAGAATATACTACTATTGATAGCTTTTAACTGTAGATATTGAGGTTTCCAACAGGTCATGTTGTCAACACAAGTTGGAGACTGTTTTGAGTAATTCTTGATCCAGTGATCCATGGAATAAAAAGTCGTCTTTCTTTTTGTGTTGTAAACTTGATCAAAGGTAAAAGGATGCATGTTTATATCTTACGGTATATGTAAGATATACATATTAGATTATATAGTCATATCTAATTAGATAAGATGCATTATAAATCTAATTAAATTTTGATTATAATTATTATTCAATAGAAAGAAAGTTCAGTTATTTTAGATTCTTTGCTCTTTTATATAAATAGACAAGATCTGTAGTGTGAAGGTGTAAACATATTGATACATGACATTATTGAAAGATTATATAACTTTTTTAATCTTCTTTAGTCATGTGAGCCCATCATTGGGAGAAGAAAATACAAATTTAGTTTTTTTTATAGAAGAGGATGTGAATTTAGTTATCATTGTAAATCGATTTCATTATGATTTTTGGATTCGAGTACGATGGCAATACAAATAAAGATTTTTTTTAATAACATATAAACTCAAGATAATTATTACTAAGCATGATTATCATTAAATTAAATATTAAAATTTTTAATATCTAAAATGCCTTTTATTGTTTTGATCAATCGATTGATTATTAATTAATATTATCTAAGGATATATATATATATATATATAATTTTATTATAATTATTTATTAATTTCAAATTTCTTAAAAAATAATGGTTTGCATTAACTTTGTTATATTATGTAATTTAAGTGAATCCTCCAATGCATTATTTATCAAATCTCTCCTGAAATATTTATTTTTATTATTTATTAGTTAATAATGGCATGTAATATTATTTATTATGTGGCGTCACTATGACGTCGGCGTTTGTCGTCGCGTTTAAGGATGAAAAATGAGGGCCGAGCTGCTCACTGCGGTGCGGTTACCTCCCTACCGTCCTCCCTTTCCACTCTTGACCTCTGAGAACCTTCCATTCCACGTTCAAACCTCTCTGTCGAGAGAGAGAGACCTGACGCCATCGAGCACCTTTCGCCTTGATTTGAACCGCCGCTCCGTCCTCCCTTCCCTCGCCATCTCACCCATTTGCCCCTTTCAGCCTCTCCTCTAATCCAATTCCCTCGGATCTCTCGCTTTCACGTGCGTGCGGGACACAGACTCGGGTTGGGGAGGCAAACCGACACCAGCGGCGGGAAGATGGTGAGGTTGCCGTACCTGACCGCGTTGACCACCCTGTTCAGCTACGGCCTCCTGTTCGTGTTCGGCCAGCTCAGGGATTTCTTCCGGAAGATCATCGATTGGTCCAAATCCACCTCCAAGGGCCTCAAGGTCCCTCCTTTTGTCTTTAGATCCCTCCCCCCTTTCGGCTTCTGATTCCTCTCCTTTGTTTCTTATCTGCTTGGGGTGTTGGATTCGGGTTCTGAGGGGGAATTCTTGGTTTCTTCTGGAATAGGGGTATGCCCCGATCTGCTTAGGGCTCGAAGATTTCTACACCCGCCGCCTCTATCTCCGCATTCAGGTTTGTTCTTTTCTGAATCTTCTTATCGGTTTCCTCTTCAAAGTTCCATTTTTTTTTATTGTTTTCTCCTTAATTCATGTAGTTTGTTTACCATATTTAATGAGTAAGTTTTGCACGATTTTAATAACAAAAGGATTCTGGATATTCTGTATATTCGTCATCTTTGCCCCAGAGCAAATTGGAATATGTTCTCATAAAGTCCCACAGGATCCCTGCTTGTTCGTTGTATAAAGACGCCTGCTTCGCTTGCAAATTTTGTATACTCAAGCACTTTAGAGCTTGTTTGCTCTACTGAAAGTGGAAAACGGCACCTTACGAGAGTTTTCTGACTTATTCCCAAACTCAAATCATACAATCAATCTCTCCTTTCAACCTTCCTGTAAATGACTTAGGAGGTTTTTCCAGTGACGTCCAGTTTCTCCAAATTTAAGGCTTTCTGAAACTTCTCTTTCGAGTTCCAGGCTGCTTCTGCTGAACCAAACATAGAAAGTCAAGTCATTCTCATTGAAAATCCACCTTGATCATGCACTTCTGGTGAAATAAACAGACGTTGGTTTTGCTCAAGTGTTGCACTGGAATTTTCAGCATAAACTTCTTTTGAATGTAGTAACAGTCAAAGAACTTACTAAGTTTGGTAGTTTGTTATATACAATGTTGCTGAAGGAAAGATGGTTTCCAAATAACAATGATGTTATCTAAAACTGAAAACAAATGAAATGGGATAAGAAAGATTTAGCCAGTAGATAACGACATTGCAATGACACAAGAAGGTCAATTTTGTTGTTTATTTCACTTTATTAATTGTGATGTGTCGTTGTCTACTTACCAAGAAGGCTTTCTTATCCTTCTTCATATGTTTAAATAAGTAATTCAAAAATCCTGTGTTTTGTATATTTTTAAATATTTTCTTTGATTAATTGTGATTTTTTTGTATGTTTAAATAAATAAATAAAACTTATCGGCTCAAATCATATAAATGTATGATTTGAGCCCATAAGTTTCTAAACAGCATAATGTAGAAGGAAGATACCTTTGCTATTTTCTTAGGAAACTGATATTTCTTGATACCTATGGGAAAACCTATACGACTCATATGGCAGATAAGTCTAACTGGTTTTTGACCAAACCAAATAATCCCTGGAAAATATTTGTCACTGGATTTTGATTTAACAGATAAATTTTCTCTCATGTATCTGGCAGACAATGACCACAATGACCTTTAATGCGATCTCTTAGTATTGCACAACCACAATGGCCAAGTCTTAATCCTTGTGACATATGCAATTAAAGTTATTTTCGTGTCATCATTAGATTTGATTTCAGAATGACAGTAGTCCATTAGGCTATGAGCTCAGCTACAATCCAGGTGCTATGATTCTTTTAGTGAGTTGTATATCTTATGACAACAAATGTTCTGATGTGGCAGGACTGCTTTAGTCGACCAATTGCTAGTGCACCAGATGCTTGGATTGATGTGGTTGAACGATATTCTAATGATAATAACAAGACACTACAGTGAGTATTTTTCACATAATTTATTGTCAGATACATGATCTTTTGATGTCATCAGAAATTTCTACCATATTCATGTATCTGAGACTTATAAAGCATAGTCTATGGTCAAGGATAATGAAACTTATGGTTTGTAACCCTGCTGATTAAAATACAAAAATATTGCCTAATTTAAGGATAACAAAACATAAAATGTATGCTCCCCTGCTGCTTATCAGACAGATTCTGAAACAGAATGCTACTTTCTGTTACTGAAGTCCTTTAAAACTTATTGAAAAGTTTAGACTGTTTCTAATAATCTCTGCAGCCGGACCTCGAATACTACCAAGTGCCTCAACCTGGGATCATATAACTACCTTGGTTTTGCAGCAGCTGATGAATACTGCACGCCCCGTGTTATCGAGTCTTTGAAAAAATACTCTTCCAGCACCTGCAGTATCCGTGTAGATGGCGGTATGAATTTTTCTGCTTGATGTATTACAGACGAGAGTCTTTCATGAATGTGGGATCAATCTGGCTTTCGTGAATCAGGCACGACTGACTTACATAATGAACTGGAGGAGCTAGTTGCAAGATTTGTGGGAAAACCAGCTGCTATAACTTTTGGCATGGGTTATGTGACAAACTCTGCCATTATCCCCATTCTGATTGGGAAGGTTTGTACAATTTCTTGTGTGTTATGTGCATAATTCAAAAAAAAGAACTTAAAGGATTCTTATCAGTGTTGTCTTGCTGCATAATTATGATCATTTATAGGGAGGACTGATTATTAGTGATTCTTTGAATCATAACTCCATTGTCAATGGTGCTCGAGGATCAGGTGCAGCAGTACGTGTTTTCCAGCACAATAGTAAGTTTTAAAAATCACAATGAAATTGATGTTATCCTTGTAGTTGATTGTTCTCAGTTTCTGCTACTGTGGTTTTGTAGACCCCTCACATTTGGAAGAGGTGCTGAGAGAGCTGATAGCTGAGGGACAGCCTCGAACACATAGGCCGTGGAAGAAAATTATTGTTATTGTTGAGGGTATCTACAGCATGGAGGGAGAACTTTGCCAGCTTCCTGAGATAATATCTGTTTGCAAGAAATACAAGGTTTGATCATCGTTAAGTTAATGTCCCAATCTTCTGCAAAGATACATCCTTGAGCAAATGGGTGCTGCATATTCTTGTCCCAAGCACTGACTAAAACAAAGGATTAGTTTGACAATATCTCTGTGCAAACAGGCATACACTTACTTGGATGAGGCCCACAGCATTGGTGCAGTTGGAAAAACTGGCAGAGGAGTTTGTGAGCTCCTAGGAGTGGATCCAGCTGATGTAGATATCATGATGGGCACATTTACAAAATCCTTTGGATCTTGTGGAGGATATATTGCGGCATCCAAGGTTCTCTTCTTGCAAAAATAAGATTCACAAGGATCAAATGGTGTAGGACAAATTGTAAGATACCTTCTAAAGCTTATTGTTTTACTCAGGAAATCATTCAATACCTAAAGTACAGTTGTCCAGCACATCTATATGCAACTTCCATGTCACCACCAGCTGTACAGCAAGTGATATCAGCAATTAAAGTTATTCTTGGTGAAGATGGGTCAAGTAGAGGTAAACAAGGGATAACTTTGATACATTTCAAGTTTGTGTAGTTGCTGAATCCTTGGTGCTCCTTATTAGTAGTTGGTAGGTTCCTTATCAATGTTGTTATATCAGGGGCCCAGAAACTTGCACATATTCGTGAAAATAGTAACTTCTTCCGATCAGAACTTCAAAAGATGGGATTTGAAGTTCTTGGTGATAGTGACTCACCGGTTATGCCAATAATGCTCTACAACCCAGCAAAGATTCCAGCCTTCTCTAGGGAATGTCTCAAACAGAATGTAAGTATCACTTTTCTTTCAAGCATATAACCATGGTTTAGATGCATAGTCATCAAACTTCGGAACTTCATTGTGCTCTTTTTTTCTCTATAAAATTCTCCACTTCTTTGGATGAAGTATTGTCATCCTATCCCTTTGGAATTCATCGTATGTGAACTAAACTGTTGAGAAAAGACGGCACCAGCATGGACATGTAGGATGAAAGTCACCTTGTTAATCGTAGCTGCAGGTTGTTTATGGATCTAATAATAACCCATGCATATTCGAGTATCTTATTGGTTAAATAACTTCTTATACACTTCCAGGAATTCTATAGCTTCTGGGAATTTTACCTCAACATTGTTCAATAGATGGAATGTATATATAAGTACCGTAAGATATGATTATTCTGCTGCCAAAATGTTGTAGGTTGCCATTGTCACTGTTGCATTTCCAGCCACACCTCTTCTTCTTGCAAGAGCTCGTATTTGCATATCGGCTGCACACTCGAAGGAGGACCTTATCAAAGGGCTGGAGGTAAGGCAATTTTTTGGAGATCCACCTTTTATCTCAGTTGGCTTGATCTTGCTCATGGTGTATCTCTTTGTTGTGCAACTCCAGGTCATCAGCAAAGTTGGTGACCTTGTGGGCATCAAGTACTTCCCTGCAGAACCACCTAATCACCAAGGACAGGGCCACAAGAAGCTGGAGTAGAGAAATACCGGTTGTGGGTCAACTGAAGATTTTATGCTGAAATCGAATCCATTTCCAATCACAGAGATGTCTGTTTTCGTCATCTTTGAATCGGATTTTCCCTTGAACGACCCATGTGTTCATCTATCCGAATCTGACTTTGGCCCTCCACATTTAGCCCACATCATGCTTTCTTATGGACAGTTATCTCGGTAAGTTGTGCTGCTTAAACATGCTTTCCAATTTGTGTATATCATCATGATGCTCAATATGAAAGTCACAAATCTGACTCTAGCATGTTGGAACAATGATATAATCGAATGGCTGTTCTTAGAGAAAAATATCATTGACGTCTTGATTAGCCTGACGTGATCCAGACCCATGTGCATAGGAATGTCCGAGATATTTCTGAAGAAGTACTGTGTTTTTGAGGTGATTGAGGTGGTTTCGATATGGGTCCGAAGTGATTTTGAAGTGAATCCGAGATGGATCCAAGATGATTTCGAGGTGGTTCCGATGTGGAAATATTATACTCCTTGAGTTGTAACCTGCACAAAGACTAAAGCTGAATGGGGTTTCCCAACTTGGTCCTTCTGATTCTCAAGTTAGTAAATTAAGGTTCTTAAATATGGGTTCCTGCACAAACAATAGTTTTCTTCCAAAAGTTACATTTTTCCTTGTTTATGATACATTTATATCCTTGAAGAAGGGGAAGAAAGTTTATGATTATCTTCTCTTGTTATAAAGAGAAGGAGGTTTAGGATTGCCCTCTTTGTCACAAAGATAAAGAAGGGAGTTTACGTTTCTCTTTCTTGTCATAATGGACGAGAAGAAAGTTTATGCTTTTTCTGTTATGTCACTTTATACACGTAGGAGAATAACTTGGGTGTTGTGTGGTGGTTGTGTGTCTAACTATTGATAAATTTCCTATCACTTGTCCCTCCCCCCGGAAGGCGTGCTTAAGGGTTCTTACAAGAGGGATTCGAAGTACATCGTTCGATTTCTTTATTCAGAATCTTATTCTGGGGTTCGGATTCTCCCAATTCAGGTATCTCGGGTGTAATGCCTCTATCGTAGTAGTTTTTCTTAGGTGTTAGTTGGGTTTCTCTGACTTATGTATCTCAGGCATATTTCGATCTTACACTTTTACCATAGCGAATTTTGGTGTCGATTCGGCTTTTCTAACTCAGGCATTTTGGTCTCGTTTCGACCTTGCACTTTTGTTGTAGTGATTTTATGTTGATCGGGTTTTCCCGACTCACCTCTCAAGCTCATTTAGCTTTGCATTTTTGTCGTGGCAAATATATGTCGATCGAGTTTTTCTAACTCATGTCTCGAGCTTGTTTGGCCTCGCATTTTCATTGTAGCAGATATATGTTGATCGAGTTTTCCCGACTCACATGTCTTAGGCTCGTTTAATCTTGCGTTTTTATTATAGCGGATATATGTTGATCGAGTTTTCCTGACTCACATGTCTCAGACTTATTTGCCCTTACGTTTTTACAATAGCGGATTACGGGTTCCCTCTCCGCTGTGGTGGATCTCGAGTCTTTCCATCACGGTGGGCTTTAAATCTCCCTTCCGCGACGGTAGATTTCAAGTCCCCTCTCCACTGTAGCAGATCTCAAGTCTTCTTACCATTGTGAGCTTCAGATCTCCCTTTCGCTGAGGTGGATTTTGAGTTCCCTCTCCACCATAGTGGATCTTGGGTCTTCTTGTTGTGGCGGGCTCTAAATCTCCCTTCCATCATAGCGGATTTTGGGTCCTATCTCCACCGTAGTAGATCTCGGGTCTTTCCGCCGTGGTGGGCTTCAAATCTCCCTTTCGTCATGGTAGATTTTTGGTCCCCTCTTCACCATAGCGGATCTAGGGTCTTCCCGTCGTAATAGGCTTCAAGTCTCTCTTTTGTCGTGATGGATTTTGGGTTTTCCTACCATAATAGGCTTCAAATTTTCTTTTCACCATGGAGGATTTTGGTTTTTCCCTTCGTAGCGAGTTTTATACCTTCTCTCAATTGTGACAGATTTGCTATGTCCTCTCTCCACCGTGACGGTTTTTTGGATTATCTCATTCTTGGGATATATTTTTGAAAGGACAGTTGACTTGATCATGGGAGGAGAGAGATCGGTGTCTCTTTCATAAATTTCCTCCTCTCGAGAGGTGGGACTCATTCCTTCATTTAATCCGTTAGAGTCTAAAGTTTGGAATATTAGGAGATCTCAACCACAATTTAGGGTTTAGGAGTATCTCCCATTCATCTTGGTTTTTGATAGCGGGTCGATCTTTAATTCCTTCATCTCGATGTCGGTCTTGCTCTTCTGTTTCAGTCGAGGTTCGTGCTCCATCTTTGGATAGCCCGAAGGCGAAAGTAGTTGGGTCCTCTTCATAAAAAGGGGTTATTCCAGTTGATCTGAGGGCTCTTTAGGACTTGGAGTTTATGCAAAGTTTTTATGAGTATGATTCGGTGGTAAGCACACCTCTTTTGGATCGCTTGAGAACTAGGTATTCTATCTCATCTGAGTTTGTCTTGGAAGTTTCCCAACCCGATCAGTGTTTGTATGATTCTGTCCTTGGATCATTTTGCTTATCTTGTGATGCTCTCGAGGTGAGCTTTCGTCTTCCTTTCCATCTGGTGATAGTATCCTGCCTTTAAGGATGAGAAATATCACCTTCCCAAATGATGCCCAACTTGTGATGCTATCTGATAGTTTTTATCAGGAATGTCATTATAATGATAGTGTCCTAACCCGCACCCTCTTTGTTGCTTGTTTTCGATTGTGTAGGAGGGAAAGTGGCTACTGCTTAGTCACTCAGGGAGGTTTTTGTTGGGAAACCTGGGGCAACATCACATACTCGGCGGAAGAATAGAAAACAAAAATCTAAGATTTCTCGTAGAAAATAGTTTCTCGTCGTCGTGCGAAGATTGGTGTGCAAAAACCTACAAAATCGAAAACTGAGCGTATATAAAAGATGTGTTACCTAGGGAGATTGTATATCCCTGTAAAACTGCAGATCTATGGGAGAGGAAGGAGGTCAACTATCATCCTCTCTAGCGATGATCCACACGACAGATACGGTGAAAACACACCTCAAATCGATGCACAATCCTCCTCTCCTCATGCACCACATGATCAAGAAGGGGCCGACCCTTCTTGCTGTTTGCATGCCCTAAACGTGTAGACAGATAGGAGCTTCAACAAATATCTTATATTCGAACCTCTACTCGTCGTAACACTTACCATATTTGTGTGGCCCTCTAAGCCTAATATCGAGCTGGCCATGAGTCATGCATGTCAGAACTCCTTCTAACTCAATGAATTATTATCTACATAATAATTCACTCGACTCATTGACTAATCCAAATAAACCTCTATCTCCATAATATGAGATATCCGTTGGAGCTCCTATCTTATTGGATATCCAATAAGTCCCTGAATTATTGGCTCTTGTATATAAGATCCAATAAGAGCCAATGAAAGACTATTGGATAGAAATCTATTAATCCAAGAGGCTTGGATAGTTAGATTAAGATCTAGTACCTAATAGGGCATGATCCATTATGGTTAAATTGATAAGGACCTCTATAAATAGGAGGGAACCAATGGGGCATAGGCTAGACTCTTTTTAGCTATCACCTCTTATACACGTCTCTCTCTCTCTCTCTCTCTCTCTCTCCTCAATCGACAACCCTAGTTTAAGGTGTGTGGACAACTAGAAGGATCAGCCCCTTCTTGATTATGTGATGCGCGTGGAGATGAGGATTGTGCAGCGATTTAGGAAGCGTCTTCACCGCATTTGTCGTGTGGATCACCGTAGAGAGGAGGACAATTGAACTCCTTCATCATCTCCCACAAATCTGCAAGTTTACAATGATACACGATCTCCCTAGGTAACGCATCTTTTATATGCATGCAATTTTCAGTTTTGTGATTTTTGCACACCAATCTTCGCACGATGACGAGAAACTATTTTTTGCGGGAAATCTGTGATTTTTGTTTTCTATTCTTCTGCTACGCATATGATGCTGCCCCAGGTTTCCCAACAGACAAAACATTAATCTCAAGCACCTTTTAACAGAGAAAAGAGGTGCAGTCCAGATTTTAAAACTATGATAAAAATCGTAATAATCACGTAAAAATAATTTTACGCGATTCAACAACACATGTAGTTTTAAAACCAATCGTTTGCATGAACAACCTAGCTCTGATACTACTGTTGTCGTGGTATCAGAGCCAGGTGCTTTTAAGATCCTAACATGATACACTTGAAGGTCCGACTCGAGGATCTAAGACTCAACCGATTGCATCACTAGTACCCCCAAAAGGTCGAAGCTCCAAGCCAAGCTCAAGAAAGAAGGGGAGCAAGTCAAGGTTGATATTGGACTTGTGCAAGGGAAAGTCCATGCCTTTCTCGGCCTTGCAAATGGCCAATCTGTCGGACCGAACCCTAGAGACACTATTGCAACCTTGGTAGGAAGGTACGAGGGAGATGTAGAAGGTGTGGGGCAAAGGTCCGATAGCAAAACAGTATTGTCGTGGGTCCTTGTGCCCGGTGATGGCGAAACAACTCTGCAGCTCCCCTTCAGAGGTCTTAATTAACACCTACTTTTGGAACAAAGTTGTGGTAAGTGAGGTTGTTATCAGCTCCTTTGGCTTCACTTTGTTGACTTGTTTGTTTTTTATTCGTAGCATCAGCACTATGTGACATCTCTTATCGACTACATCCGAGACATTAGTATCATCATCCATCAACAAGCTATTATGGTTGACGATCTAAAGGTCGGGATCGAGGAGTCAAAGAAAGGGAGAGTTTCTTTTGTTGTTGCTGAGGCAAAGGCCCGAGAGTCTAAACTATCACACCAATTGGAGGATGTTGAGCATCAACTGGTCGACCTTGCTAAGAAGCTGAAAGTGGTCTAAGGCCATAACCATATGATGGAGGATAAGCTTTTGTGACTTACCCGAGAGTTGGGAGACGGTGAATGCGTGCAACTCGAAGCTTTCCCAAGAGTTGGACATGGTGAAGATGTACAGCTCGAAGCTTATTAAGAAGGCTCACTAGCTGGAGGAAGTGTTGGAGAGTGAGCAGAGCTATATCCTAGCACATCAGGAGAAGGTAATTGTCAATTACAAGGCGTTTGCTAGTTTTGAGAAGGGTTTGGAGAAGACGGGGCAGGTGTTGTACCAATTTGGGTGCCAAATCGCCCTGACCCGCTTCAAGGCAAACTAACCCAAACTGAAGCTAGAGGAAGATCTGTTTATGAATTATCTCGATGATCAGAATGTTCTAATGTCGGCTGAGGTGTCATTTGATGACAGTGTTGACTCGCATTCTCACCCTGGCACCTGAATTGCTTCCTTCGGTCGTGGTTCTTCCTTTTTTGTTTTTGGTTGTCGGGAGCTCTTGTCTAACCTACTTCTTTGGTTCATCTTAATGGCATTTTATTTTGATGGGTTCGAGCTTCCTCTTGAATGTTAAAAGACTTTTGACTTTTGATGTCTTTGTGGTTTAGCAATACAACTCTCTTTCCTTTTTCACTTTTGATGCCTTTGTGGTTTAGCTATATTAGTGCTGAGGGGTAGTTTTTCTCGATCTAAGGATAAAACCTTTTTTAAGTTAACAATATATCATGTTCTCGACAACATCACACCCTCCACTGATTCGAGGCAATAAGTTCCGTTTTATATAACCTCGATGACTCGGTAGGATCCTTTCCAATTTGAAATCAAGTTTTCCTGAGACCTAACCGGGTCACTGACCTTGATCTTTCGGAGCACCAAGTCTCCTTACCTCAAAGGTACCTTTTGGGGCTCACACCGAAAGGGTAAAACCATATGAACTCACCCAAAACAGATAATTCCTCACTCACCCAAAACAGATAATTCCTCACAAGTCTTTGTGCTCACACCAATAACGACAGAAATATTAACCTATCAAAATGAGGCTATGAGAATCATGAGCCCTCAACTCCCCTGCTAGGGGGACACTAATAATAGTCTCAAGTTAATTAAGGAGTAAGGGAACTAAAAGTTTATAAGTATCTAGCATCATTCTTACCTTTTATGCCTTTAAGACTCATCCTTAAATGATAAAATCATACAAGCTTACCCAAACTAGATAATTCCTTATAAGCCGTTATGTCACACTAATAACGACAACAAATCTTATGTTATCCAATGATATCCATATTATTCCTTTTACACTATTCGGGACTGAAGATAAACTTATAACGGGATGCTGATGGAGAATCAGCTGCACTATTTACATGGATGAAGAGCCAATGAAGAGTACTCCAATCTTAAGCCAGAATCCAAGAAAAGAATATTGCCGATGGATGTAGAAAGAACAAATGATTTTTAGGGATTTGATGGCTAAAATTGAGCTAAACTCACACTACATATTTGTAAACAGATTTATTCATCCATCAGGTATCATCATGTCCAGAACATTAGATGCAGTTCAGTTAACAGAGAAGAGGAGCTATCTGTAATTGCCGGAAAACTATTGTCAGAATTGTTGTCGATGAAAATATATCTTCTCGCTGACATGAAAGCATAGTAATTGCAGTCTTTGTGACAAACCCAAGGTCCGTGAGAAGCAACCTCGCAAACTTGGTATCTCCCATTTAGCAGCAAAGGCTTGCATGTGAGAGATGATGCTTCGAGTTTGAAGGGCATATAATGTGGTAGTGTATTGCCTCGTCTGAAAACAGTCACGAACAATCAAACTCCTAAAACAGAGGAGAATGTATTGGGATTATCTGCAAACATAACACAACAAATTGCCTGAACAAGCAACCAAAGCAAATGGCATTAATCTTGTACAGTCCACAACTAAATGTACAGATTAATCATTTAGGCTCTGATATCAGGTGCATAAAATCGGTGGCAGAACAACATAGAAAGCAGCAGCTGCGAGCTAACTTCAGTGGATACAAGTGAGGGGGACTAATGGGCAGGTAACAGCACATTTAAACACTAGTATAAACAAGCTGGAAACTCATGGTGTGACAATATAGGTGGAAATTGCCATGAGTGGAAAAGGTGGAGAATAGCTGCAAGAAGAAGAAAAAAAAACATCGATCACACAATTGAAAACAGGCAAAATAAACTGTCAGAACTCAAACAACAGTATATGATCTACCTCTGTATCTGATGATATAATCAGCCCTCTGTCCATCTGTCTAAAATGGTTAATCAGCTGAGAGCAATAGCTTATATATGATTGTTGATTCTTTTAGTCAAGAAGAAACCATGAGAACTATTGTGCAAAACTGTCAATAGAGACACTGTCACATAGATAGCCACAGTTCAAGCATTTGGGATGTGGCGCTGCCTGTGAAAGGATCCCCAGAAATCACCCACTCCAATGGCAATAGTTTTGGAATCATGACCATCTAAACTCCATGTGTTGGTAAGTTGTCTTCATCTTGTGGATTTTCAAGAGCTATCACATGCTTTTTAAAAGAAGCTGCTGAATTTTCTCTTTCATCTAACCTTCCGAGACTGTTGAATATTATAGCCATCAAGTAGAAGGCTTCTGCAGCCATTTCATGATACTGCAGAAAAAAATGACATCACACAACTGCATTACTATAAAAATTAATAGAAGTAAAGTTGCACAATATTTCAACTAACTGAATATGGCACTGTTAGATCTAGCACAAACAGGGCACCATCAGATGGCAACCAAACTAGAGATACTGCAAGAGAAGCACATACAACATTACAAGCTCACCTCCAAAATTTGCAGTTCTTCAGAAGCTTGACTTAGAGGATCCAGCACAGCGTCAGGGTCTTCTGAAACTGAATTAAGAATTATAAGTAGAAAATAGTCGAATAACCAGAATGCGCTGTTAATTATGTGAACAAGTTATATTGTTATCAGAAAGAAAATGCATGTAAGAATCAGAACCCATCACCAGTTGTTCATGATGCCAACAAAAGGATGATGTCCAAAAAGACAATGATGGCCAACATTATTGATTCAAATAATACTTAGTACCCACTTATATCTAAATAATTTTAGCCTGTAAACAGTTGAATGATCAAAGTATCTCAGAAAATTGTCTTATAAGAACTAACAGCATGGGAGATTTTAGTAAATAAACTCACAAGTACTCTTTCACTGTTGAAATTGGAAAAAGAATCAATCTGTTCTATATTTGAATAATGAGAATTAGCAAAGTTCACTTGTATTAAATGAAGATGCACTGGACAAAATGCATAAGATGAAAAAAAGCTAAACATACCCAAGTAGCTAGGGTCAGCTAAAAGGCATTTTGCTACTGCAATATTGGCTCGTGCACGCAACTCCAATCCTCCATGACCAAGAATCATTGGAAGAGCTTGATATATGAGACTTGATGCTTTCTTAGCATGGCTTGACCCAAGAGAGAGCCATAATTCAGCAAGTGTCACAGTAGCAGATGCTTCAAGTAGATCCAAGTTAAATGTTTTGCAAAATGACAAGCTTGCTAATACATAAGACAGCCCTAATACAGCATCGCCTGATTTCTGACAAAAGAAGTAGAAAAGAAAGTTTTATCCTGAGATTTTCAGAAAGAAATTGGTATAGTGAATACTCATATCTTACCTTGTGAATTTCAGCAAGCAATAGAAGAACAGTGGCATTCTCAACCTGCATATTGAACTTGTAGCATGTGCAGAACAGATTGCTTGCTACAGCAGCTGCCTGAAAAATAGAACTATGAATTAAAGTTACCATCCTTTTTTATATAATATATTAGCAGGAGGAGAAAATAAGCAACCAAAAAGAGGATGTTCCAAATCGAGTCAAACAATGAATAAAGACGGTGCACAACTTTGCAATTAAAAGTTCAAAAACTCATGCCTTGCATGGTCATATATTTAACAAACTGCTCCAATAATTCCTCTTGCTTCAGTAGAATGATTTCTAGAAGTATCCAATTGGAAAAAACCTTTCAAGTAGATGATAAAATAATGCAAGAAATTGACACCAGCTATTTGTGAACTTAGCCCGCCAATAAATGTCATCAATCCAATTAATCAAGTTAAGTCAAACATTGATATATCCAAGGTTTGATGTACCACCTGAAATGGTTCAAAACAGGTGGTGCATACCGGTCTGCTAGTTGACCGGTACACGGACCAGTTGGTATTCTGAAATATGGCCCGTACCAATCGATACGGGGTGTGTATCGACCGATATGGTCGAAACTTGTCATGTATCATTTTGTATGGGTTGGTACCGATCAGAATTTGACCGATACCGACCCAAATTGGGTCTTGTTTGACCCCCAATGGTCAAATTGACCATTAGAGCCTCATTTAGGGCTTTAAATCCCCCTCCCTCCCCCTTCTTTCATTCACTCTCTCATTCTCATTCTCACTCTTTCTCACACTCTTACTTGTGAATAAAGCTCCTCGGCTAATTCAAGATCAACGATAAGCAACTTCTTCCCGTGTGACAAAGTTGTTCCTCGACGGATCCAAAAAGATAAATTAATTTTTTCCTCCTTATAACCTATTCATTTATGTCTTAGAAACAATTTATTCTTATCTAAATACAATTTATATACCAATAGACTAGGAATTTTTTTTAAAAATGATTATTTATATTTTTGTCAATTTCTGATTTTATTTTTTTTAAAACAATACATACAATGTACCAAATACGATATGCTGATGGCAGTCCACCCAAGGACCGATACCACTGGCCACCAGTCGGCACGACATAGCTGTCCTTGGATATATCTATGCGTAGAAAAGTAGACAACACAATTGCCCTAGAGAGATAACAAAATGACATGTTTAGGATGAACATAGAATGTTCTCTCAAGGCATGAAATTTGCAACATCAGAAATTTATACAAGTAATGAAATTTGTTTGAGTTTTAGTTTTTGGGTCAGGTTCCTCCAAATGATATCAACCTGGATGAAAGATCTCTTCTTTTTTTACCAACTTTAAGTTGTCACATAATGTACGTAATAAACGCAGATAAGAAAAGACTTATATTAACAAAAGCAGATATGTGATCAGCTTTAAGATATTATCTCATTTGCTCAAGCCTCGCATGAAAGAAAGACATTGGTTCCCAGTTCAGAGATCTTATTTGTGGAAAATTGTATATAAAAGATGAGTTTTCCTATGTATTTGATACTTGAAAGTACTCTTATCACAATCTGGCCCAACAGGATAAGTCTCTCTCTCTCTCTCTCTCTCTCTCTCTCTCTCTCTCTCTCTGTGATTTATTTGAGATCAGTTTGTTGATCCCTTAGTTAACTCAAACCCCGTGTCTTGTCAACACTGAATTCAGTTTGGAAATTCTTAAATTTGCTGAAATTTGACACATTCTTGTGAAGTATTCCCCCAAAGCCATTTCTCATATTATGGATGAATGCATTGGTTGGACATGGACTTCAAAGTTCAAACAACACCAATACATGGAATCTATGATATTCTTTGTACTTTCTGATGACAAGAACGACAGTGTAGGTAAATGATAGAGCACAATATAATCACTTGTCATTTATTGGAATAAGGAATAATACAGTACACACTATGATATTAATGCATGAGATCAATCCATCGAAAGTACACATTGAACTACTTGGACAATGCAATGTTGTTGTGAAAATTATTGACGAATCTAGCACCTTAAAATTATTGCCAATAATACAGTAACTTCTATATAGACATATACAGAATCTAGCTGATGAAATGGCAAAAGACAGTAAAGAGAATCCTCAAGAAATAAAGTTTCGGTTTTCAAGTTTGTACATCTTAAAATTCTCCTATCATAATATGTTCCATTGTGAGGTTATGTTTAAATAAGAGCATTTAAGTATGAAACTTCTGCAAAGATTTCCTTATTAAGGCATTGATGCAAGTACAAACTTGCAGGATAGATTGCATATATGGCCCTCAAACATGTATTTAAAAATCAAGCAACATTTTGAAGGTGTAAATATAAGCATGCACTTCCTTTTGGATATGCATGTAAAGAAGGAAAGCTTGAAGGTTGACTTGTGAATGATAATAGTAAAATCAACCTCAACAGGAGCACAAAACTATGCTCTGATTTCTACTTCAGAAACCAAATCATAGTACACTAGTGAAGAGAAGAAACTAAAAGCAAAAAACAGAAGGGATACAATACCTGGCTAAATTGATTTGCTGCAAGTAGCGTACGTGCATGTCGAAGGCTAGCCTCAGTCTTAAGCTCCATATGCACTCCAGTGACAGATGATGCAAGAACACCAAACTGATCACATACTTGTTGAGCTTCTTGTAGATTCCCCCTGGATTATACTCACTCAAATCGAGATACATCTAGGAATCTTCCACTACATTGTGTTTTAAGTTGCCAGCAAGAGCCAGATAAGTAAAACAAACTTCAAAGAAGATACCTATGTAGAGCACGTTCATGAAGCAACTGCAGCTTAAGCAGTCGGATGTGTGTGCTTGATACAGAAAACTTATCTTCTGCAAGCTTCAGAGCATTAAATGCTTCTGAAAAAATGAAAAAACAATTTTAGGACTCAAATATGTAATTTAAGATATTTTCTACCACTTGAACCAATGATACAACTAAGATCACGAAGAAAAATTATAAATCTACTTCAGACATTACAGGAAATAACAGTGTGAAGAACATGAAAACAAAAAAGAAGAATGCAGTCGTATCAAAATTTAAGGTAACTTCATAGTTACCAGTATATCCTTTGAATACACTCAAATGTTGGATTAGTTTGACATATGCTAGTGATAACTCCGATGAACTGTCACAGTAAAACAAAGCCACATTAACCTAAATATACAAGGGCTTCAGCTAATTCACAGTTTGCACAAGAAAAAAAATACAAAAATAGCAAAAATTATCAAAACCATGAAATTTACTATTCATTAGCATCTAGTTACCTTGCAGCATCAGCGAAGCAAGTGGCATAAACCAATGCATTCATCCGAACTAACGGAGCACTGAAGAAAGAAAAGTCAAATTAGAGGATCAAGAACTGAGCCAAAATAATAGGATACCACCGGCAACTTTCAATTCATGTGTTATGAATTAACTAGGATTTACAACAGGTATTGAATGATAAAACTGAATCATCTAGCAGAAATACTCAAAGATAGAATCACTACAGAAGCTTCTCTTTCTAACAAAAATAAACAAGTTATATGCAATGTCGATTAACGACAGCTAGTGGATGATAAAGAAGAATCATCAAGATGGAATCACTATAAAAACTTCTTTTCCTGCTTTAAATAAATTACACATCACATTAATGATTTATAGAGAATTAATGCTATAAAGAGGTATTGATTGTAATCCAGAAACTATGACATCATGTTATAATATACACCTTCTGCACAATGACTGATTCATGTCATGTATCATTTTGTGAACAGCATACAGGAAACAGGAAGTGTGACAAAACTAACTGAAATCTAAAAATTAAACCATCACTTTATATTAAATAAACCTTTGCATAAAGACTGATATGCCACACATCACAAGTGTTACCATGATAGCATTGCAGATTCTGATTGAACAAAACTCACTGAATCAATCATTATGAAAAATGACATATCTTGGCAAAAGAAATTATGAATCAAAACAGCTAATCTCTAGACTAGTGATCCATATAACTCATGTCCTGCTAAAACTTATCATATATTTGGCTCAAGAAGACATAAATTGTGTCCTGATGGCATCTCCTGCAGTACACAATTTGTTATTATATAATTTCTTTGGTGAAGTTGTTTTCCAGGATCATATAATTAACCTCTCATACTATCAAAATAAAATTTCACAGATGCTTTACAATAGGTGAGGGCATTGAGATTGAAATTAAATGTCCATCTCCCAGAAGGTGAAACCGACACTCAGCCTAAGGAAAGAAAGCAGTTTTGCCAGTTCAAGTACATGGAGAATTCAAATTGATGGACAGCTAGCAGTCAACTGCTGCAAGTTAATCAGTTAAATCAGTAACATGCCTTCCCATCAAGTTCCCAAAGAAATTAAGAACAAAGTTGAAATAATACCTGCCATAGTGCTCCCATGATGTAGCTCTAAGCAAATATGATGCACCAGCCAATTGCAAGACGGACCCAGGCATTGGGTTGGGCTGAGCATAAAACTGAAATGTATCATAATCATTAACAGATAAACTCCTGGGTTTTTGTAACTTTTTGAGCCATGGATTGCCAACAGCTGATAAATTTTTAAGCCATGAAGTGCTAAAAGCACCAGTATCATTTAGCTGCAGAAGACCATCTGCTCCAAATTCACTCAGCACATGTGAACTTAACCTTAGTTCCTGAAAGGGGGTAGTCAGCAAGAATGGGAAAAAAATATTACAAATACTCTGGCAACATGTTTCAAGCAGGATAAAAAATAAGCAAGAGACAAGAAGTCCACTTACCCTGCAAACACTTGTAGGACATGTTCTAAGCTTCATAGAAGCTTTCGGACCAAAGGATAGCAAAGGCTTTTTCACATGCTGAAAAAATTAATCATGTCAGGAGACAAAAAAAACTTAATCTGCTATGTCATAAGTTATAACTTGAGAACATCATAAATTGGAAATATACATACATAAATATACACATATCTAATGAAATAAAGAAGAAAACCAGACAGCTCCATTTTCTATAGTTGTATAGAAATTCTAAACTATATAATTCCATGACCTAATAGTTGTACTGAAGTCCTAATTCAGCAGCGAATCAGCCAAAAAGATTGTTAGTCTCCATATCATTCATTTTCTACATTTATTTAGCTTCTGCAAAGGGGCCCCTAAATAGCTTCTCCATCAACGTATGTAGTAGCTAAAAGTTTTTGACAATAGCCCAAAACACAGTCATTTACTGCTTCTCCTAAGTCTTAACAGAAGTGAAGAAAATGTTGACCTTTTATCCACTGTTTTAAGAATGGAAATATTGACAGCATTGACAAGAATTAAAAGTCGATTTCATACAGATTTACGTATAATAATCATTTTTTACTACAACAATTCAATCTTATGCTTCAGGGGCAGGATTAAAATCTCAATCTGGTACCAATACCAGTTGACAATTACCACTACCATGCAATGTGCCAAGTGTTGGTACAGAATGCTACAGGTCAGATGAGCCAAGAGAGAGAGAGAGAGAGAGAGAGAGAGAAGAGGAGGAGGAGGAGGAGGAGGATAGGAAGTAGCAGATGAGGAGAAGAGATGAGGCCAGAGGAAAAGAAGGTTGAGGAGAGAGAGGGAGAGCAGAACAAGAAAAATATAAGATAGATGTCAATAAGGTTCGGTACCATGCAGTCAGCTCGATATAGGTAGTCTACCACCCAGTAAAATAAACTTATGAGGCAGTATGCTCGATTTCTAACCAGATCAGATGAAATGCCCAGTCTGAACACCAATCAGCCATTTGAACAAAACTTCAAATCATGCTTCAGGATTGGAGAATAGAACATAGCATCTAAAATCACAACCAATTAGAGGTAGTGGCACACAATCCAGCAAATAAGATGTGATAGTAAGGTCGAATACTGATATATTATGTTAAAAATTTTGAAGCAACAAAAACCCCCAGTAAAAAAACAGTCAACTAGTTTAGGATCTAGGATTTGCCATGGTTCATCACAAACGATGCATATAGCACATGTAAATTGTGATAAATAAATTCATGCCATGATAATTTAGCCGAGACGAGCACAAGACAATTATTCTCACAACTTAAGGACTGTGCCTTTGGACAACTAATCCACCTCCTAGGCTCTCTTCATGATTCTATGTTGTTTCCAAGGCTTTACCGAAGACATCTGGAACAATAAATGCCTTTTATCATCTTTAACAGGAATAGGTTTTGCAACACTGCCACAAATAAATTTCATTTGTGCCAAGACGTTCAAAGTAGCATAAGCTTATTTTTCATTCTAAAATCAACAGGTTTGTCAATTTTGTTAGAAATGCTCCAGATCATACAGATTGATGTTGTTTACTTTACAATCAAAATATATAAGGTCCAAGAACAGAAAAGTTGTTTATACCAGATTCAGTCTAATTCTCTTGAAACATATTGCTTCAGACTAGATTTTAAAAAAAATCATGTTTTACACTTTTCTTTATCCTCTGGAAAAAATGAATCATTTTTTTATTCACAATACCCAAACATGATGTATGAAAACTGCATAAGGGGCAAACAAAATATACCTTACCAAGATTTCATAGTTGTATAACTGAAAACTAAAGATTTTAGATAATCTAAATTCGAAAATACATAAAATGAAAACTATCAAACTCACTCTCGACTTAAGGACTCTAATGCCTAAAAGACTGCAAAAATAGAAGTAATTAAATAGAACTAGTCCAATCAAACAATGGAATCGAAGATCATGAGATGAGGATCCTAAGATGCATAAGCTTGTTCATTTTTTCATTTATACTATAGTATGAATAAATTAAATAATCTAGATTATAAAAATTATTCTTTTGATATTATGTTGTTATGATTTAAAGGAACCTACTCTAATGCCTGATACACCCTATGATATCGTAAAAGGGCCAACAAACTTATAAAGAGCATTCAAGTAATTAAAACATCATCAGAGAAGAACTTTTATAAAGGAAATTACAAAAGTTATTCTTTTGATATTATGCTGTTATGTTATAAAGGAACCTACTCTAATGCCTGATACACCCTATGATATCGTAAAAGGGCCAACAAACTTATAAAGAGCATTCAAGTACTTAAAAGTTAAAACATCATCAGAGAAGAAAAGGAAATTACTAATTTATTTAACAAAAGTAGGACTTCCAGAGCTTTCTAGAGTCGAACTTAGACTTCTTATGAAAGAAAGACTCTACGAGAGCTTAAGTTGGCCTCTGAGACTAATTCCCTTACAGGTTACAATTCAAGCTAAAGGGGTATTTATCGAGTTACAAAAGGCTCTAGAGACTTCAGAGATTGTTACAGATATATCTAAAGTTGTTAAAACTATTAACTTTATTTTATCTTTTGTGTGACAAGGCTTGTGAGGTGGCTTGCTTTTTTGTCCTAGTGATGATGTGTTGGTTGTTTTTTTACATCGACTAATATGATTTTTTGCCTTCTAATGTCGACAGAGTCATCCTTTATTATTTTTTCATATCTTCAAATGTTGATTATGTTGTTACACATCATTTTCATCCATTATTTCTGTAATATTAGCATTATTTTCATTAATAATATATTGCACCATGTTTATTGATTTATCATTATCTTCTTATGGATATAGATCAATATTATCATATTCATTTTTTATAGATATCAATCAACATTATTCTCACTTTTTCATTTTCGTGTTTTTCTTCTGCGTTATCTTCATTAATAATTTTGTTTTCTCATTCCCAAGGTGTCGTATCCTAGATATTATCGACTCTGTGATATATACGTAATTCAGTCACCATAATAATTTCTTAGTTGACTTCCTCAGTTCTTGTTATAAGTTGAATTATTGGCATAAATTTGTCAAAGTATAAATACCAAATTCATTGAGCAATTAGTCTCATGTCATATTGATATTTGTCATCCATAATATATTTTGCTTTGTAGTCCCTAATATTTTGCTCAGATGACTGAATCATATAAAAGATCATGGGATAAAAATCAGATGAATGGATCAAATACTGAAAAAGAATCCAGAAATCATCCTTCCATAGTTCGACCATTTGGTTAGGCAAGATAGATTTTGACACTGACGAGCTTGTTCATTTTTAATTGCAATGTAGACATGTTGAACTTGTAGAGAGATCTTCCTTTAAAATTTTATCCAAGGACCTGCATGAAAAGCTCATTTCTCCAACCAGTCTTCTTTCAAGAAAATATGATAATTTTTTTTTCTTTTTTGAGCAATTTCCAACACTCATTATACCATTCTAAATACTTAATTGTTTAATGGTGTGCTATGATCATGTCTTCATAATCCAGATTGACATAATGGTTTTAGAAGTATTCTTTGTGAAGACGTGGGGTTATTATTTCATACCATGCCATTATTCATACTACTAGGGGTTTCTAGTACTCGATCCAATAAAAAGAATCATTGATGTAATTCTTGTTCATGCTGTAAGATTAATTTCATGCCCTTTGTTCTGGCTATCTCAAATATATAATGTTTAACTTTTTGTGATAGCTTTTCACTTTGAATTTTGGTATAAATTCTCGGACCACATGATTAATACCAAGGTTCGTAATTTTGTATCGTACCGGCGTTTTGAGCTTTGCTCGGTACGGTACGGGCGTACCGAGCAGTATGCTAGGGTGTACCGCTCGGTATATATCTTACGATCCAAATCTCATCATCATTAATCTCATTGCTTAATGCTTCATTGGATGATACATACCAATATGTCAGAACACCCCACTGTACCATGTGTCGATACGTACCATACCGATGGTCAATCAATACACTGGTATGGACTGATAAGATGAATCATGCATTAAATTATATCATCACTGATAAATAACATCACACTACACAATCTACGAGAAAAAAAAAATATTCGTTCATTAATTAATATTCCAATCACAATTTTTTTTTCCTTTTTTATGGACTCCCCAAGTGCAAAAAAACAAAAATAAGAAGCAAATACAATTACATCAAGGCAAATCAATTTTGGGGAAGATAAATTTTTATATTTGTTTTGGTAAATAATATTTCTTAATGAAATATTTGATTAATAGGCTTCTTTATAAAGGCTTCAATCATCAAGAAGAGTCTTTTCACACTTGAAATCTTCAATCCAATCCAACATTTAACATTTTAACTCATCCTTTTATTTGCCTTTACTTTCTTCTCCTTGAACAATCTTGGTAACTAATGGAGGATTATTAAGATGCTATTCTTTGGCAACTTGTGACATTTGCCAAATAGCACCTAAAGTAATAAATTTATTCAAACAAATTAAAATAATCCAGCTTCAAAAAAGAACTTGGATTTATTCAAATCCAAGATTCTGGCAAGGAGAAACCTACTTGGCTAGGACACACCTGTTTTATACTATCTTATCTATCAAACTATTTGGAAAAAAAAATGATGAAATCAATGCTTTGTGTTTACCCCTATTGACAAGTCATCTCATAATGAATGCAAATTTTCACTACCAAATTTCTACCATGTGAATCGAGACACTTGAAACCAGTGATTGAAAAAGGCGCTCGGGCGCTCGCCTAGGCGCTCGGGCGCTCGCCTAGGCGCTCGGGCGAGGCGAGGTGAGGCCCGAGCGCCTCGCTAATCTCCCAGGCAGCGTGCTTCAAACAGGCGCCGCCTGGGCGCTCGCCCGAGCCCAGGCGCTGGGCGTTTCGGGCAAGCGCCTGGGTAAACCAAGGCGACCGAACCAGGATTTTAGGTCTGGTTCGGTCCTGGTTCGATTGGTTAGTTGGTTCAATCGAACCAACTAAACTGATATAACCCTTACCCAACCCTAACCCGCTGCCACTCCCGATCCCGATCTCGCTGCTCGCCGCTGTCGCTGCTCGCAAACGCTGTCGTTATCGCCGCTCGCCGCTGTCGCTGCTCGCAAACGCTGCCTCTGTCACCGCTCGCGCCTCCCGCTGCTCGTCGCTCCTGTCGCCGCTCGCCGCTGTCGCTGCTCGCGCCTCCCGCTGCTCGTCGCTCCTGCTCCCGCTGTCGCTGCTCGCAAACGCTGCCTCTGT